AAAATGGTGGAAAATAGCGAAATTTTTGTAGTTTCATTCAAATTGCAGCTCATTAAAAGGACAAAAAGGGACGCATTCTACGCTTTTCCCTTTGTAGTTTTTATATTGGCGAGTACGAGTAGAGAAATGAATTTTTTGCTATCCGTGGATAATACTGTTTGCATTTAAATGAGATTAAAAGTTTTTTGCATCGGAATTGAGGGGAGAATCACGTATAATTTTGTATTGTAATTATGCGTAAAATTTTTCAGGATTAAATTGTAAAAATGATAAAAACAAATGTTTTTTCCACTTTATTTTTTTCTGTAACAAAACTGCATACATAAATATTTTGTCTCTTAATGCATTCGTTTTAAAACCCAAGAGTTTCATACAAAAAAAAATAACTTCTTTAGAATTTATAGGGTACTATACTCTCTACCCCTCTTGATTTGAAAACAAGATTTTTATTGGTTATATTGCAGAACATGGAAATAGATTCCATATACTGCTTTTTTCAATACCTTATAGTTTAATGTTTAACTCAAATACTATCTATTTTCTTTAATCTATATTACATGTATTCCCTTAATAAAATTTGAACTCGCACACCAGTCACTAAGCTTCAGACATTACCCAAGTACCATTTATACTGAGATATTTTGAAGAACTCCTATACATAGTGTTTAATAACACTTACACATACAGAAGAGGGTTGGTATCCATGAACTAATAAACCCAGGTAAAAGTGCATATTGTTCAAATTTTGGTTGTGGAGTAGCTCAAAAAGTAATAGAAAAGCGCCAGTAGTATATATTCATAGTAGCTATAAAATCCTTTTAATCGTGGATTATATACAATTGATCCAACTTAGTCCTAAAGTTTTATCCTATTTTTTTATCTAAATAAACGAATTTGAGTAATAGTGGTTGCTGTCATTTTAGCATTGGACGCTAATGAAACAAAAGCTTCACAGAATTTGCTAGACTTCATTTGTAATTGAAAATATTAAGTAATACTTAACATTTACGATAATCTAACAGCTTATTTATATTAACAATACAACTGTTAAAGAGCTCTCTCGTTTATCAACTTTGAAGCATTAAGTATCTATTTCATTCTTGCTGTATTAACCCACAATTACTGCCCCGCCAGTCTGGGTATCACGGCTTTCTTAAAAATGAACTTAAAATATTTTCCAAAAATCTAGCTTGCTTCACTAGTTCAGTAGATTCCTTTTAGATCTAGCTGTCATACAAAATATTTGATCTCGATCAAGAAGAAAGAAAGCTCCAGAAATAATAATTTAGAATCACAGTGTGTATTTATTTATATATACATATACGTGAGGCTTCTTGTGAGGGTTCTTGTTTGTAGTCCGTGCCAACTAAGCTTGTCACTATTATGATGACATATTGATAATGAGTTAGGCCTTTTAAAATCTTCATCTCGAGGAACTGAAGAAAGCTAGCATCAACGACCTTGTAATGCACTTAAAAGGCACAGCTTGGATTGAGATGAGCTGTCTAAATAAACAACAAATTTGATACCTGGTAATAACGTAACATCAAAGCGATGCGAAAGCGCTAGTTGGAACTAACCAAAAATGATACAGAATAAAAATAAAATATTTTTAAGTAGATAAAATAAGACAAAATCTCAGGAAACATAAATAAATTATATTGAACTAATAATTTTAATAGTTTAGAATCAATTTTATATACCCAACAAGAGTGCGGACCAAAGTCTATCAAGATTCTTTCAAATAATAATTGTTTTTAATTCTTCTACTAAAACATCATTTTAATTATGTTAAGTTAAAATCGATAGAGTCAATACATATTCTACTTTAAATCTGAAACATATTTTATTTAAATAACAACACTTATTTATTTTCAACTATATAACGATTGCCTTAGCTCCACTACTGAGGCATTCTACGTTAAAGCTACGTTGGCTTTTCCACTTTAACATTGTATCTGAGTAAATGAGTCAATTAATAGATCAATAAATATTCAAATAAATTAAAATTAAATATTTACTGTAATTTTCGTGTATTAACGATTCACAAATTTTAGCCAATTAAAAACAATTTAACAAGAGTAAATGGTTTAAAAAATATGTTCAATGACTATTTACACATTTTGAATAGAAAGAAGTATCTATAAAATGAAACTAAATCAACAGAACTACAACAAAAGCCTAAACAAATCTAATGATTTTGGTAAATATTGTTGCACACGTATCATTGCGCTGATTTATATGCAAATTTGCTGTAATCCAACTAAAATAAATTAATTTATTTTTTTTTTTTTTTTATTTTGACAGAAATAACAGGTAAT